GCTGGAAATTTTTTCCAATGGGATGTGTCCATTCATATTTATGATTCAGAAACAATGATGTGGGTGACCTCTTTGACAGAGGTTCTGACAGGATGGAGAGGTGGAGATGAGAGTGTAATCTGTGACGGGGTTTTGTACTTCTTGATTTACTCAACTGGGGGCGGGTCACCAGACAATCGTCATGGCCTAATCACATATAATTTATCTGCTTGTTCTACCGATGGGTTGTTGATACGCAGTATAATTCCTGTACCTTGCTCTCTTACATGTGGCCGTCTGATGAACTTGAAAGAGAGGTTGGTTATGGTGGGAGGGATTGGTAAACAAGATCGGCCTGACATAATTAAGGGGATTGGTATCTGGCTTCTAAAGGGGAAAGAGTGGCAAGAGATTGCACGAATGCCTCACAAGTTCTTCCAGGGGTTTGGGGAGTTTGATGATGTTTTCGCCAGCAGCGGCACAGATGATCTCGTATACATTCAGAGCTACGGATCTCCAGCTCTTCTTGTATTTGACATGAACCTGAGGCATTGGAGATGGTCCCAGAAGTGCCCTGTAACAAAGAGGTTCCCCCTTCAGCTCTTTACTGGTTTTTGTTTCGAACCGAGGCTCGAAATTTCTCCTTGATTGTGTGGATTGATAGGATGTGGTGGTGGCATTACACCAATTCGTCTGAATTTCCCGTGTTTCACCTTTGTTTTCTTTTCCCATTAGTTTCCAGTTACCGCATGTGTGTTCTAAAAGTTGTATACATATAACGTACCCGCAGATAAAAAGCTGCTTATTCATGGTCATGGCTATATTATTCTTTCTATTGGAATTTATTTCTAGTAAATTCAATCTTACGAATTCCTGACATGTAATTTATAAACCTTTTAGATTTGACTCTCTTATGTAGGGAATTCCGTCATAAAATTGGGGATTATATCTTCGCTTTTTATCTCACATTACATGACGTGAAAGAGAGATTTAGAGGGGGATATTTTTTAGATTGTTTGCGTATGACAGATAAATATTGTCTCGACCAGTAGGTCAACAAAAATTTGATTAGTAGATAGTTCAGACAGTATTTATATATCATACGTGTTTGTAGATATGACGGAATTTCCCCACATATGTGAGGGGGGCACATTGATTTCTAGTGTCCCTTTCAAGTTTCAATCACACCCATGGTTTTGAAGATGGTTTCCTAGCCTTTCAAGCTAACAGTAGCTTCCATGTTTCAGCAGATTTCCTCTTGTTTCATCTTTTTGCAAATTCACGTGTTTTCAACGTAAAAATAATTAAGAAATTGATTAGGCACTTAAAAAGTGGAGATTAACAGGGAAGCTTGTGTTTGCCTTGTGTGGGTTGGTTGAGAAGTGACGAAGATCGACACTCTGGTTTTAAAATTCTAATTTTAATGGAGGTAGATTTTGCTTGGTGGACATGTGACGATGGAAGATTGTGTTTTATGAATCCATGCTGCTTTTTTTCCTTGTGGCCCGAAGACTTGTGCCACTACCAAATATTTTAAAGAAAAGGGATTTTTTTTATTGAAATGCCTTGGGTTTTCAATGAATCTTAATTTTATGATTTGAAAACCGGTATCGTATTCTTTATGTATTTAAGTTTGAATTATTTCTTTGTAGTTTAGGGGAATATTGCTATTGAAAAATAAAGATTTTCTAAATGGATCGATATCTTCATAGCTGTATGTTTTGTATGTCTCTATAATCGTTTTCACTCAAGTTCAATTTTTTTTTTTTGGATTTTACAATTTTATATGTTTAAAATTATTCACTTTATGCTAATGATATTGATTTGTTCAAATAGAAGTGGGGGCAAGTTGACTAAATTAGAACTAAAAAAACCCAATGAGATCATTACAATCAATAAGCCAATATGCCATGGCTTGGGTGGCACCAATTAGGTTAACTACTTATTTCCTTATCTACTTTTTGTAAAAATATCTAATGCTCCATTCAGGCGATGACATAAAACTTTCATTTTTCTTTTTTAATAATTAAAACAAAACGTCTTGTCAGATTTTATGATACGACTAATATTGATAAAAAAAAAACCAAATACATAATTTCAAATGCAGAATTGTATACTCTTAATTACTTAACATGCAAACAATTTGCAGTTACATGGCTATTCTAAGAACATGCATCCATAGAAGTTTATACATTCTTGTGATTTGCATCCAAGAATCAATTAAAAATTGAAAAATTGGATTATGAGATTACGACACATAATTTTTTTTTTTTTATCAGATCAATACTTCTAACTGAATAAGTATGAGTAAGGGATCCATGGATAAACATGCTCTCCGTTTCCCCTGTAGTCTACCTAAAAAGGTTGGCAATGTCTTTGCTTGGAGGCTAGTGTAAGAGAAGAATCTAAACACAAGGTCATTTAGATGAAGTGCTATTTTTGTCGAATTGCTTTGGTGAATATGGTCTTTGTAATTAATCCACTGCGTTTCGGGTACAAACTCTCTCTTTCCCTTCTCATTAGTATAGTTTCAAATATTAATAGGCAAAATTTTATTTGGACCCAAAGTTTTTCTCTCTACACCCAACTAATATTTTCTCTCCATTAAACTTCCGAATTTATCCTTAAACAAATAAAAATAAATAAAATTGAAGTCTAATTTGGATCCCTACACCCAATAAACCCCACCACCACCACTGCACGCCTCCATTATTTCTGACGAATCCAACCTAAACTCCATCAACACTTCAATCAACAAATTAAGAGTGGAGGAGTCCCTATGTGAGGCTTAAAGCAAATTTAAGCTGCAAAAGTCGTTCTTTCTTGCAATCACCGTAAGAACTTTGGACCAAGAACATAAGAAACCTTAGGGTTTAGCGATCCCCTCCGCACCGTATGCATACGCACTTTTTTCTTCATATATTGATTTACAAAAAGTAAATTAATACTATTATTCTCATGAAAAGTGGGAAAGAGATCCCTCCACCCAGCTCCTTTTTATTTTCCAATTAGTTAGATCCAAAGAGATCGAAAACAAGAGCATCAATGGTCGTTAGGTTATTGGGCGTAGAGATAAATGTTTCAATACTTATTTCCTGATTCTTATTTGATTAAGGGTAAATTTGAAAATTTAGTGAGAAAAATTTGTTAGTTGGGTGTATAGATAAAACAGTTGAGTTCAGATAAAATTTTGTAACAAGCAAGGCATAATAGTCAAATGAAAATGGACCGTTAGGAAGTTTTGTGAGGGGGAGGGTACGTCTTGTACCAGACGCGAAACTTTGTTAGCGTTTCATTCCAAAAACGGCTATATCGGTAATTCGATCTTTCCTTGGCGCGTAGAAGTGTAGTGAATCAATGAGTCCGATGGGCAATCCTCCTCCTAGCCTCTCTGTCATAACTAAAACCCAAATTTTAAAACTGATGACGAAGACGACGACAGCACAAACTCCTAAAAAAAAACGAGAACCCTTTCTTCTCTGGAAATTCTTGGATTTCGAAACAGGGTTTCTGACAAAGGTAAATCTTTGCCCAAACAGTGTTGTTTTTGGTAGGTTTTGTTTGGGGTTGGTGATTTGTCAGGGATGCTGAAGGCAAAGGTTGCCTTTGGGTTTTAAATTAATGTTTGGGTAATAACTGCTGGGTTTGTTTGGAGTCGTGTTTTTTGGGTTTTTCACTTTTGTTTTTTGGTCAAATAGGGTTTTTCACTTTTGGTTGGTAGATTTTGTAGCTCTTTGTTTAGTAAATGTCAGATAAAGCTCAATTTGCAATTTTGCATCAATTTTGTACTTTATTTTTTATTTTTTTTGGTTCTTTGAAGGAGTTTTGCTTATCTATGTAATCTTTTTGGTTTCAGTTAAAAATGATCAAAACGAAAAGAAAATACGGGTGGCTCATTTGACAATCTTGTGATACTACTTTTTTCAATAGGGATAGAAATCATTATATGAATAGTGTACAAGTTTGCAGCTAATTAAATTTGTGACTGAAACTTTGAATGAAAGACTAGGCTGTTGATTAGTCCTTGTGGACGAAACAGAAAAACAGATGATAGTTCTCATCTTATGTTAATTGTTTATGGTCATGTGTCGTGTATATGTTTCACGACTTTGTCAGTTTGTCCACAATACAGGATCATTTGTGTCATGAATATTCTCTTGCCGAACTGTGAATACGAACTATTACGCACCGTTGTGTCTATGCTTTGTGAAAATGAGTTCGAAATTCAAGTATGGTCGACGGATATAATAATCAATTCTGATTACATCTTTGTTGTAACATGTGACGCTAATATATGAGGCTAACAAACTCAAGTGTAACATTGTCTACTTAGAAATGCTGATCCAATAAGAACTATTCCGCAGGGCGATACATGGAGCTTCTGCAAGAAGAGCTTTCACCAGATGACTTCAAAGCTACTAAAACAAACTGTATAAAGTATACCAGGCAGGACTCGATACATGGAGCTTACTTCACAAATGACTTTGAATGGAAGGATTACAGTCCTGCAGTTTTCAGGTTTCTTTTTAATGTTCTTTCAATTGTGTGTTATTTTTCAAGTTAGATCTTCTCGTGTCAAGTTTCTTTGTTCATCTTATTTCAAGCGATTTAGCGTGTGCGCATATATGTCTATAGTATGTATGCACATGCCTGTGTTGTTGCTATCTTCTTAAGACTTTGCAAAATATGTAATGAATAGATTGTTTGCAGACGTTTGCTGGAGCTTGACAGTATAATTAGTTATGATGACTACCTGCTTACAGTATGTGGAGATGACACTCTAAGGGCGGTTTCTTTACCAGGACGGTACGGTAGGGTGTATATATTGCCTGGTGACAAACGCTTAGTGATTAAAACTCTGCGGAAATCAGAAAAGCAGGTAATGAAATAAACCTCTAGTGTCATTTCCCATTAATGCATGAAAAAGGTTACTAGCACAAATTTACCAGCCATATATACAAATCTGATTATATACACTTATTGCGAAACAATTCTTCTTTGTGTTTTTACATTCTGTCGACGGATTTTGTGTTTCTAAATATCTGTATAAATTTGAAAGTTTTGTTGCAAAGTTAATGGAACAAAGGAATTTTCTTTGCTTCTATATATGTTTGTCAGCAGTCTAGGCATTTACTATGTTTACCTTTTCTCGTAGGTGTACCTAGAAATGCTTCCAAACTATTACCGCCATGTTAAGAAGTACGGGACCTCACTTTTGAAAAGACTGTATGGACTTCATGTTATCAGGCCACTGGGAGGTATTAAGGTACGATCTTCTTAGTAACGCAGAATTAAAGTTTACTTAATTAGATTAAATGCAATATATTGGGTAGAGATAGTGAGCATATACTTTACACATAATATACATACATACATATACATATGAAATGAGAGCTACATATATAGTAGTACAAATGTCAGCATAGATGATGTGGAAACTGTGTCATCTTTTGGCTTCCATGACACTGCGTCATGGAGGATGGTGTCAAAGCACTTTTATATGCAAAGTGCTAACGTAGATGAACAAATTTTATCCTACCAAATCCTCCTTTAATTAGGATTTGACATATTCAAGCTCCTTCTAATCAATAGTTGCAATTTTTTTGCAATGAGCAGGTTTACTTTGCGGTTTGCGCAAGTGTAATGCCGTCCGAACTTTGCTTATATAAGTGCTATGATCTCAAAGGCTCTTCAGTAGGTAGAGCCCGCAACAGATTACACGTCCACGACACGGCCATACTTAAGGATCTGGATTTTGATTTTTGCTTTTACCTGGATCCATTGGTCCATGCTCGGCTCTTAGCGTAAGTACCTTCGTCTAATTGTCATTTCTCAGCGCATCGGCGCATAAGCAAACTTTTACGCATAACGCTCGAGTTCAGTTTGTATTTTTTGGATGTTAGCGAATAGCACCCTCTTTGAATTTTTTATTTTACTTAAATTAGAAGAAGCTTTGATCTCAAACTCGAATGTCATCTCCTATTTTCTTGCAACACATCACTCCTAGGCTGTCTGGAGATGTTCTGAATGAGCAGTTGTAGTTGTGTATAATTGTTGAGGGAATGTTGCCATCGGTACGATAAAAAACAAAATCTTGTTTTTCACTACTTTTACCTATTGGATGTCTAGAGATCTTGAGAATCATGAAACTTTACTTCTCTGTTATGCATTGCAGCTGCTCTACCAATTATTTGGCAGGTAGACCCCAAACTGATATTGTTTTCTAGCCAAGGTAATTTCCATGGGGACAAAAGGAGAATGACACTAGGTTGGAGTGTGCATTCACAAACTATTAATTAGGAAATGCATTCTATCACATAATTCTGTTTATTAGTAATTACAAACTCTAATTATTCATTATATGGATTTCGGCGGGTATGTTACACACAGATTTGATTCTGTAGCTAATCCTGTTACGCTTTAATCTTAGAATACAAATTATTACAAGGATGCATGGATCTGTTTGCTTCGTGACATATGAATCCCTTGTTTTGCCTTATGAACACCTTTTGCCTTCGTTTTTGTGTTATAGACAAATCAAGTATGACTGCGAGTTTTTGGAGGCCGAGGGCATCATGGATTATAGTTTATTGCTTGGTATGCACATAGATACTTCGCGTTCACCGGAAGGTGGTTCTCCTCATTAATCATTTTCTCACTTAGTGTGCGTTTCATCAGATGCAGATGAGGAAATTCTTATGAGAATACAACATACACAAATATTTCTGCAGAAAACTAGTCCAAAATTTTCCTGTTATTGTCGTTGTGTCAAATATAGTGTTAGAATTGCTTATTTTCTTTCATCAATTGAACATATAAATGAACTGTTACGCTTATTAAGTGAGATCCATTCAGGTGTTCAGAAAATGTGTTTGTCCTGATTCTCAAGTCTTTAATTCTCTAACATAAAGAATCCATCTATCCCTTGGCAGGTTCAATTGATAAAAGAAATTCCAGAAGTTTTGATGCCAAAAAGCAAACAGATGATACTTCTGAAGACGATGAAACCTCATCAGAGTTAACTCTTGCCGATATCTGCGATCTAATTGACAGGTACTATATTGTATGTATTTCCACATTGATATCCGGACTTGAAGATAAAAAGGCTTAGGTTGGTTCTGTTTGGTTTAAAATATAGGATCAAAACGTCCCGGTTGGCATGAACATGGTTGGAAGTTTGCTAGGGTTTGTTTTTCACAACTATTATGTCAACTGACTCGTCGAAGAAGTAATGCCATCATTGAAGCCATTCCAGTCATTTCCTAATCCATTTCATTTTTATCATTCTATCGTTTATATTCCACCTAATATTGGCTAAGCCTTGACAAACTAGTATCCTAGCGGTTTGTCTTGGATGCGGAAGAAAGCAAAGGCAGATGGCACGAGACTTTCCAATTCAAATCTTGTCATTCTTGAAAATCTGTAGTAAGTTCCAATTGCCTTGGCATTCAGGACGAACCGCTGTACCACTTTGTTACTAATCTGTCAAGGCTTAAACCCTGACTGTAGTAAGTAGGAATGTAAATGAAAGTGGCTTTACAATTGAGGTAAAAGTTTAACGAACAAAACCTAACAAAATCTCAACCATATTTTATTTCCAAATCGTATCTGTTGATTACTTCTCTGCTTTATGCTCTTCTTTGACTCTTGATCATTATTCTTCTGCTGCAGGCCTGGTTTTAAATTTGGCGACGGACTGCCAGCACGCGCTGTCCGAGCCTTCAATAATGAAATGGAGAGTAAATCATATAGGTCCAGCAGATCACAGGAATGCTTCAATGTTCTTTTGTTCTTTGGAATAATAGACTTCTGTCAGAATTACAATATGAAGAAACGCATTGAGCATGCTTTCAAGGCAATCAAATATGACTCTAAGTCCATCAATACTGTGAACCCCAAAGCCTATTCTTCTCGCTTTCAAGAGTTTCTGAGCAAAGTATTTCTGCCCGAAGAGTCGGATGACTTTGATCTCAACTGGCAGGTTCCTTCTGCTCCTTCAAAATCTGACCTTTAAATGCAGATTCATGTTACTGTTAGGCTTGAACAAAATAAGAAATGAAAAACTAGGACAGATTCATGTAAGGCCTGCTCAGGTCACATTGAGCCATGCTTTCGATTAATGAAGATGGTCTATTTTTGGGGCAGTAACTCAAACGTGACAATCTCTAAGGCTTAGCTAGGATTAGATTGGATTAATATTTGAAGGTAGGTCATGTCACTCATGAAGAAGACTTATTCCTTCTAAGCTACGTTATCAACACCTTATAACTGATTTCCTCGAATCCCCTTCAAAATGAAAAATCGTTCACCTTTACTTTCATTTCTTACTTCGTCAGCACCAATCAAGCTCTAAATGTGCAGTGTAACAATGAAGGGTTTCTGTTCTTGACACCATTAGGGATGTGATGAGCATCTTAAGTTTAACATAACCCTAAATAAGTTTCCGACAGGGACTCATCCACAAAATTTAGTTGAAGAATGCGCTACGTTGATCATTTTAGACAGCCTAGTGAAGGGAGATGCTTCTGATCAACACCAAGAACACTAGTGCTCATGTCAAATATCTCAGAACCCGAAAGTCGCAATTCGTGCATGTTGTTGAAAATATAGATTACTGCATTGCTAGGATTGTGAATTAGTGAAGTAATGGTAATGTTTCTAAAGATAAAAAAAAAATGAAGATAGTTGCTAAGAGGTAAGTGGATCCCATTGCATGCACAAGTTGTTCTGAATAGCCTACTCTTGCTATAACCAATTTCAGAGTATGAAAAGAAAAATTATAAGTTCTTTTTGGGTTGTAAAAACACTTGTGTACCTTTCAGAAAGCATTTTAACATGCTTCAAATAAAGTGTTCTATGTAAAAGCGCTTATGAGTAAAGATGTTAGACGGACTCTAACATACTGAACTCTTCGAAACGAACTGGTTTCTATCTGAGAACGTACATGATGAACTCTTATACCAGGCCCAGTTTCCCAATAATACCTATACAATGCCCGGCCGAACAATTGGCCAAGCTCAAATTGGTATCCTCAAAATCACAGTAAATCCAAATATCCAATCTTGGAAGCACCCAAAAAGTATGAGAAGTACAATGTCAAGGTACAGGATACGAAAACCAGGAATGAAATTCCCATGTTACTCTACCGTTTGAGGCTTAATCATTGCCCATGTTGGTAACAAAACCAGAAATTGGATTTTGTATAAGTTCATCAAAAGCAAAGCCCCCTTTGGACCACGTCTGTCTAGAACAATACCAAACCACACAAGTGGTCCAGTCGTTATTTTATGTGGTCCTGTTGTGGAGTTCAATTGATATGAAAGCTCTTGATGAAAAGGAGATGCGGTAGATTTAATGTTGTAGTTGGCTCAATAGTAAGAGTGCGCATTAAACCGAACAATTTTTATAATAATGAACAATTTAACTCGGTTTTGATTATTAAAAGGACAAATAGTTTTAAAAAATGACGTTAAGGACTTAGACTTAGAAAAAGTGATTTACTTGGTTCGTTTTCACCCCAATGAATTTAGTTAAAATCTTAATTAGTTGGTTCGATTGTAACTTTGAATGTCAAACCTATCCAAATCCACCCCTACTCAACCGTTAAAACATCGACCTTTTGGATAAAGTATGGTTATCTGACAATTGAATTGACTCCAAACCTCGAATTTCCATTCAACAAGCAAAGCATTCGAGTAGAAGAAAATAAAAGGTAGGAAAAAGAAATCCAAAAATCAGAACCAAACCACATCTAGGAGATGACAGACACTTGTTGCTTGCAGACAAAAAGCACATAGACAAGACAACAGAGGAATAAAGATGCAACAGCCTATTGCATGACAGGGCAAGGACCACAATTCTGGGCCTTCCTTCTTCTGACTGACTGGTCCAGTGGTCCTGGTGTTTGTGGTTCGTCTCTGTCAGAAAGCTCCAGATTGCCCATGTGTGGACAATCATGCTTCCCAAGTGACTTGAACAGACTGATCAAATTGGCTTAAGACAACGAACAGGTGACCTTCCCTGGCCTCGGATTCCATTCCTGACTCTAAATTGTCCTTATGGGGTTGGTTGGTTAAATATCAAAGTTCTGCAGCTTCCGCTAGTCTTCGAGAAAAAATTATCTGTATCGTATGAATCTTTTTCTACATCATATGAGTAATTTTGCGAAAAGAAAGATAGAGATTCGTATGCTAAATCAAATCAGATATCTAGAAAGCTATGATTAATATTTGTATTTATAGATGTAGGACGCATGAAAGTAGAAAAGGCCAATATCATCATATTAATATCTTGTCATTTCTCTCTTTGAAGAGTCAAGATCTTCCGCTATCTCCTCGTGTGAGTGTAAAGTTTGAAAAATGGACTAACAATATCATTGTAGGCTTTGATCTTGCTCCACAACGGTCCACAACATAAAGATTATATTGTTTATGGGAATTTTTTTTTTTAATTTATGATGGGTTGAGCGCGCTATATAATACAATGACATTTTAATTTCAATAATATGCATCACGCTCAATTATTTGTACCTGTTAACTATTACAAAATGCACTTCTAGAATGTCGAAATTCTTATACAATTCTATATAACCTAAAATATTTACCGAAAAATTGTAGTTGACACATGTAATTAATGTACTAAGCTTGAAGTCATAGGACTGAATTTTAAGTTATGAAGGTCAAATAGTAGTAATTCTCACTGACAAATGAAAAAGATAAAAAAAACTTATTTTTAGCGACGCTCCCTAGAGCTCAATTTTGATTTCATTTTGCCCATTGTAACTTAAAAACCACAACTTGACTCTCTGAAGCTTAAATTCGTTCTACTTTATCACTTCTCCATTTCTTCTATCAAACAACTGTTAAAGTTGCAAACGTGGTGAGTAAAATGTAATATCATAAGCTTATTTTTAGCTACATCTCATGAAACTTGATCTTGTTCCCACTTTGCTCCTGGAACTCGATTTTGATCTCATTTGCCCCTCTAAAACTCAAAAGTCGTCATTTTATAAATATTCACTATGAATTGTTGATCTCCACTAGGGATGGCAACGATTTGGTTTGAGGACAGAAATACTATATCCATCCCTATAATCACGAAAATTAACTATATCCATAACCACATATTAACAATCGGGTATTATCCATAACCATACCCACCGAGTAACGGATTCCCCATCGGTTAACAGTTATATCCATCTTCGTCATTACAAAAAATATATTCGTCCAATTGACGCATGATAATTTAGAAAATATTAATTTCGTCACTATATAATTGATGATAAAATTATTTAGTGAATAGATCTTGTAAAGCATAAAAATTAAAGCTAAACATTGATAATGTTTCCTAATCTTTGATATCTCCTATAAGTACCATTGAATTATCATATATTTTGATTCATATAAAACATTTCGAACTTTCCCACAAAATGCAACTCGCACAATGCAATTTTTATATTTTCAAGGTAATGGATTTGGTGAATAATGAATATAAATAAATATATATATATATACACTATTTAATATTTTAATATTACATAATTATATTATATTATTCGGTTCGGATTCGGGGACGGATACGGATTGGAGACCCCTATAATCATATCCAAAATCATAACCGAATAATATTCATGGTTTTCCCCATACCCAAAATATACCCAAATTTTCATACCCAAATCCAATCCATTCGGACGGTTATCCGCGGTTATCGGGTCTAACGGTTAGAATTGTCATCCCTAATCTCCACTATGAATTTGATTATAAATCTTTACTATGTGTTAACATTTAACAATTAGAAAATATTAAGTTTAGAGGAAGAAAATAAGGATTAAATTTTTTTTTTGGTTTGCAGAGATCTTGAAAGAAATAAAAAAGAAATTGATTAGTCTGGTGCATCCAAATCAGGCCCACGTAATAGAATTTGCTTCAATTCTACAAATAGCAAATAAATCTTAGAAGAAGTGTGAGGTAGAAGTTCAAACCAGTCTGAGTATGCGTACTCAAGCTGCTTTGAATCTTTTTTTAGAAATTTTAACGAAAAACTCTTGATACTGTTCACTTTAACGAAAAACCACATTTTTACACTAAAAAGTCAATCATGGTACTATTCACTTTACCCTTTATTTTGTCTTTATTGTTAAAACTTAAAGTTTTCAAGTCTTTTTCATTAGTTTTTTTTTTCTTTTCATATATCCACATCAGCACATTTGATGGATTTTTAATTGAATTAACATAATTAAGGCAATGTGGTGCAAATTTTGAGTTTCACAAATTAAATGACGAGTTTTGAGTTTCAGAGGCCAAGATGAGATTAAAAATGAGTTCTAGAGTGCAAAGTGTTATAAAAAAAAAGTGAATTTGACAAAAGAATGGGAAATATGGAAAAGTGAAGCAAATATTGTATTTTAAATAAAGTGATAATTTTGAATTATAGAAGGAAAAATGAAATCAAAATCAGTTAAGAAAAAAAGAAAACATAATCAAGCGGTAGAAATTTACACATAAATGAAAAATAAAACATACTCTTGTTCTTTATTTATTTATTTATTTATTTAGAATACATCAACATATTTACTGTAACATCCCACATCGTCCAGGGAAGTGGATCTTGTAAGCCTTATATGTATATTCATATCTCTACCTAGTACGAGGCCTTTTGGGAGCTCACTGGCTTCAGGTTCCATCGGAACTCCGAAGTTAAGCGAGTAGCACGCGAGAGCAATCCCATGATAGGTGACCCACTGGGAAGTTCTTGTGTGAGTTCCCAAAAACAAAACCATGAGGACGTGGTCGAGCCTAAAGCGGACAAGGGATATGGTGAGGGCTGGGGCGAGGATGTGACATTTACATTAGGAGTATGGGAGTTCGGCTAAGTTTTTTTTTTAATAGATCGATATTTTTATACTAAGGGAATTTTTTAGTACATCGATATTTTTACACTACGAGAAGGGAAGTTCGGCTAAGTTTTTTTTAGTACATCGATATTTTTACACTATGAGAAGAGAAGTTCGGCTAAGCTACCAAATGAACAATCTAATTTGGTATCGAATTCATCATTTACGAGATTCGAATCTAAAACCTCTTATTTTTAAATAAAAAATGATACCACCGAACCATAGTGGTATTAGGCTA